TGGTGCTTCGCGGGTCTGGGGCTTCTCTGAGGGGCCCACCGGGGGGCACGCGGGCAGCTCACGATCCGCGCGCCATCCGTCTGCAAAGCGTCCACAAAGGCTTGGCCGCACCCTCGCCGCAGGGGTAACGCGCTAGGGGGAGCCAGGCTCAGGGGCCAGCAGGGGCCCGAAAGCTGCGGTCCCGCTGTCGGGGGCCTGTCGCCGATCTGCTGGGCGTTCCTTCGCCGTTTCCAGCTCGATGCTCCCCCGCGCGACTCTATGACATTAAGCCTTGGGGCATGCCCCTGGGCTCAAATCCTGGGCTTCCTATGACTTCTGGTGCTTCCCCGATGAGGCTCCAGTGTCTCCCTCTGTGTTCCTGGCCCTTTCTGGGGCTCTCTGTGCGCTCCTGGTGCGTCCCGACGTTCCAGGACTCAGAGAGCCCCCCCCCTGCCCTGAGCCAGTCCCACCTTGACGTTGCCCCCTCATCCGCGCCTCAAAGATTCCAGCTCGATGCTTCCCCCCCTGAGCTGGTCCCCCCCCCATCATCCCTCGACTACACGGAGGAGCGATCCCGAGCACAAGTGACCTCTGGTGCGCGGCAATCGGGCGGGGCGCCGGGAGGCCAAACTCCAAGCGCGCGAGCCGCTCCTACCGCATCGCAGTCAGCGATCGGGGGGCCCCAGCGGGCCCGGACCAAAGGTCACTCTGGCGAAGGGTCACTTCGATGGGGTCCGAGTACATAGGGTTGGAGGATCGCGCTGCGTCGCCGATGCATCGGCGACGTCGGCGTGGAGAAAATCGGGCTCCACATCGAGCGAGCCGCATCGCCAATGCATCGGCGATGCGGCGCGATCCTCCGACCCCATCTACAGTCGGCCCGAATCATAAGGATGCGCGGTAAGGATGCAAGGGCCTTGGGCGCCCGTTTCGAAGCTTCTTGAGCGGAGCGCGGCCAACGAAAGTGGCCAAGGATGGACCGAGGAGGCGAGGATGCAAGGGTACCCTTGGGAAGGCGGCCCATCCATACTGTGCGGGTTGACTGCGCTCCGACCCCTTCTAGACTCTACGCGCAGCCGAGCCCCCGCCTCACAGGAGAGGCGCGGGCTGGCGCTCCTCGTCCAGGCCCTGCCGCACCCTCCCAGCGGCCTGGCGCCCCGCGCGGCCGGGGCCTCGGGCGCGCGGGCGAGGACGTGGCCGGTTGCCCCAGCGGGGACGACGGCGACGACGACGACGACGACGACGACGACGACGACGACGATTCGGGACGACTACGATTCGGGCACGCACTGAGCCGGGTCGACACGAACCAGGGTCGACCAGGGCCCAGTCGCGAAGCTGGGCCAGCCGTGATGCGGCTCCCCAGCCCGGGCCAGCGACGGGCGGAACGGGGACCGAGTCGGGTGGCTCCCAAACGCGGAGTCCGTCAGAGGGGGTGGGCCGACCCCCGTGGGCGCTGCCCCCCGATCAAGCGAGGGCCGAGGGTTGGACTCCCCTCCTTCTCCGGCGCATTGGGGTGGTCCAGCCACCAAGCCCCCTTTGAAACCTTTGATGCGGGGGGGGGCGCGAACGAACCAACGACCACCTGACCAGACACACGTCCAGGCCTAACTGGGACAAGGCCGTGGCCTCGGAGATCCAGCACGCACGGATATGTATACGTTAAGGCATACTGCTTGGTTCACTGCCCAGGAAGGAAGGGGTAGAGGGGCTAGAAGATTTAGAAAGGGGGGAGGGGGGACGGGTTAGAAAGAGATCCCCTGACGGGGGGAAAGGCCCCCCTTTATTCTTGGAGGGCGACCACTGGCACTCTTTCCGTGTCGATCGACCGACTGGCCGACCGGGAGGAAGGATCGGATCGACTCGGCGGGGAGGAAGCGTCATGCTCCGCAGCGCCGTCAGGGGTCCTTTGGGCCTCGTGTGCTGAGATTTGAAGACACAAGCAGTCCTGAAAGCATCCATATCCCGCCCTGCCCAGCGGACAAAAAAAATGCGGCCCCAATCATCCACCCTGGCAGGGCGAGGGGGAGGATGGAGGAGGGAGAGGAGAAGAGGGACGGAACTAACTTGGTCGCATGGATGAAGGGAGGAGGAGGAGGGCGGAGGAGAGAAGAGGGAGAGGAGCAACAATTTACAGTGGCTTGCTTCATGGGATCTACACGGATCTGTCGGGGGTTCTGGTACGCTTTGAGCGGAAAACGGGGGGAAGACGAACACAGGGTCTTACGCACGAGGGACCGATAGCTTGCGCAAGCCGTTCTCACGGCACCGCATGCGGAAAAAAAGGGGGTGCCTGTGCACGGCGACGTCAGGAGAGCAACTGGCCGACGCGAGCCAGAAATCAACAGATCGAGCCTCGCCCATGGCCGAGAAAACGTCGCAGGACAGCCGGGGGTACAGCGGAGAGGGCGACGGAGCAGCAGCCGGGCGGCGCGGCACGCAGGGCAATGGGGGGCCGGACCGCCTGAGGGCCCAGAGCGAGCCAGCACGCCGCTGAGGCCGCCTCCCCCAAGGCTGGTGCCTGGGCGGGGGGGCACGCGGCGGGAAGCAGAAGAAGAAGAAGAAGAAGAAGGAAGAAGAAGAGAATGAAGAAGAGAATGAAGAAGACGAGAAACTATACTAATGAGAAATAAGATCCGCCGGCCCTCTTGTGGGGCCACCAGGCTGTAGGCCGAAGTGTGCTGCTCCCTGCGCCAGTGGCAGTTTCAAGTCTCCCATGTTCGAGTCCTGTCTTCTTTCCTACTGTACCAGTAATCAAACTCAGAGTGCACATAATAATACTAGCACTAAGACTACCACCAGTAAATGGTACTGCGGATGATGATAATAATCATACTTAATCGAATACTAGCAATCATGATGATAATGTTGCAACTGATACTCATACTACGGACAACAACAATATCAACATCAACCACAACAATAACAGCAGCAACATAAACAGCAACAACACTACTAACAATACTATCAACACTCATATTGTTAAATTTTATTAACACTACTACTACCATTACTACTACTACTACGACCACTACTACTACTACTACTACTACTACTACTACTACTACTACTACTACTACTACTACTACTACTACTACTACTACTACTACTACTACTACTACGACTACTACGACTACGACTACGACTACGACTACTACTACTACGACTACTACTACTACTACTACTACTACTACTACTACTACTACTCCTACTACGACTATTACAACTATTACTACTACTACTACTACCACCACCACCGCCACTACTACTACTACTACTACTACTACTACTACTACTACTACTACTACTGGTAATAATACAGTCAATACGGCTACTAATAAAAATGCCACTACAAATTACAATCATAAAAGTAATGTTGATGTTATTATTCTTCTTCTTCTTATGCTTATTCTTCTTCTTTGTCTTCTTCTTTTTATTATAACTCGCTGGCCCAGCGGGCCAGAGGCGTGCTACGATCTCGGGTAACAAATTTCGAATACTTCTAGTCCGCACGTTCGAGGCCGCTCCCAAAGATCCCCGGACGAAGAATACCCTGGCAAACTCCCCTCAAGGATACCAGAACTCCCCGGAGTGATGTTCCGTGGGGCCCCCAAGATGGTCCAAGAGGGCCTTGAATTGCTGAGCGATCGGCCCAAGACGCCCAAGATGGCGGCCGAAAAAGCAGCCAAGACGTCCCAAGAGGCCTCCAAGAGCCTTCCCAAGAGTGCCCCGAGAGGCCAAAATCATTGATTTACCCATTGATTCTTACTGTTTGGGTGTTTCTCCACTTTTAGAGTTTCCGACGCTCCAAGACGTCCTGAAAGGCACCCAAGACCGCCCCAAGACGGCCCACGAGGCGCCCAAGGCGGCCCAAGGGGGCGCCGAGACGGCCCCAAGAAGGGCCCAATATGGGAAACACGAACCGAACATTCGAGACTCCCGCCCCAAGAGGCACACTGTAGGCCCCAAGAGGCCCCCAACAGGTCCATGAGGCCCAAAGAAGCCACCGAGATGCCCAAAACAGGCCCCCGAACAGCAGCCTCCTCCAAGAGGCCCCCGCCAGGTCTCCACGAGATCCGGACGAACATCCAAGAGGCCTCAGAGCCACCACCCAAGCATGGTAGCGTAATGGGTCGAAGGCCATTCGATCTGAGCCGGCGGAATGAGCTAAGCGATTCAATCATGAGTGTACTTGTTACTGCTATTGAAGACATAGGAAGAGTCACACCATAACGGTATTATCCCGGCAAAGCAACCTAACAGCGATGTGTAGGAGCATATCTGGAAGCATCCCCCTTAAGATTCAGATGAGAATCCAGTTGTAGAGTTCTGCTGTTCTCGCAGTCGTAGTCGCATTCGCGATGACAGTCGCAGTGGCCTGCATTAGCCTCAGCCTCAGCCTCAGCCTGCCTCAGCCTCAGCCTCAGCCTCAGCCTCATCAGCCTGCCTCAGCCTCAGCCTCAGCCTGCCTCAGCCTCAGCCTCAGCCTGCTTCAGCCTCAGCCTCAGTCTGCCTTCAGCCTCGGCCTCAGCCTCAGCCTGCCTCAGCCTCAGCCTGCATCAGCCTCAGCCTCAGCCTCAGCCTGCCTCAGCATCAGCCTGCCTCAGCCTCAGCCTCAGCCTGCCTCAGCCTCAGCCTCAGCCTGCTTCAGCCTCAGCCTCAGTCTGCCTTCAGCCTCGGCCTCAGCCTCAGCCTGCCTCAGCCTCAGCCTGCATCAGCCTCAGCCTCAGCCTCAGCCTGCCTCAGCCTCAGCCTGCCTCAGCCTCAGCCTCAGCCTCAGCTTCAGCCTCAGCCTCAGCCTCAGCCTCAGCCTCAGCCTTCAGCCTCAGCCTCAGCCTTCAGCCTCAGCCTCAGCCTCTCAGCCTTCAGCCTCAGCCTCAGCCTCAGCCTCAGCCTCCTGCATGCCTCAGCCTCAGCCTCAGCCTCAGCCTGCCTCAGCATCAGCCTCAGCCTCAGCCTCAGCCTCAGCCTCAGCCTGCTTCAGCCTCAGCCTCAGTCTGCCTTCAGCCTCGGCCTCAGCCTCGGCCTGCTTCTGCCTCAGCCTGCATCAGCCTCAGCCTCAGCCTCAGCCTGCCTCAGCCTCAGCCTCAGCCTGCCTCAGCCTCAGCCTCAGCCTGCTTCAGCCTCAGCCTCAGTCTGCCTTCAGCCTCGCCTCAGCCTCGCAGCCTCTTCAGCCTCAGCCTCAGCCTCAGCCTGCCTCAGCCTCAGCCTTCAGCCTCAGCCTCAGCCTCAGCCTCAGCCTGCCTCAGCATCAGCCTGCCTCAGCCTCAGCCTCAGCCTGCCTCAGCCTCAGCCTCAGCCTGCTTCAGCCTCAGCCTCAGTCTGCCTTCAGCCTCGGCCTCAGCCTCAGCCTGCCTCAGCCTCAGCCTGCATCAGCCTCAGCCTCAGCCTCAGCCTGCCTCAGCATCAGCCTGCCTCAGCCTCAGCCTCAGCCTGCCTCTGCCTCAGCCTCAGCCTGCTTCAGCCTCAGCCTCAATCTGCCTTCAGCCTCGGCTTCAGTCTCAGCCTGCCTCTGCCTCAGCCTGCATCAGCCTCAGCCTCAGCCTGCCTCAGCCTCAGCCTCATGCCTCAGCCTCAGCCTCAGCCTCAGCCTCAGCCTCAGCCTGCCTCAGCCTCAGCCTCAGCCTGCTTCAGCCTCAGCCTCAGTCTGCCGTCGGCCTCGGCCTCAGCCTCAGCCTGCCTCAGCCTCAGCCTGCATCAGCCTCAGCCTCAGCCACAGCCTGCCTCAGCATCAGCCTGCCTCAGCCTCAGCCTCAGCCTCAGCCTGCCTCAGCCTCAGCCTCAGCCTGCTTCAGCCTTCAGCCTCAGTCTGCCTTCAGCCTCGGCCTCAGCCTCAGCCTCAGCCTCAGCCTCAGCCTCAGCCTCAGCCTCAGCCTCAGCCTCAGCCTGCCTCAGCCTCAGCCTCAGCCTCAGCCTGCTTCAGCCTCAGCCTCAGTCTGCCTTCAGCTTCGGCCTCAGCCTCAGCCTGCCTCAGCCTGCCTCAGCCTCAGCATCAGCCTGCCTCAGCATTCAAAATGTGGCCAGGGAATGGAATTCTGGGAACTCGAAGAACACGAAGTGGCCTACAGTTTGCTCCGGGCATTCAAAATCATGCCCAGGAATGGAGTTCTGGGAACTCGAACACCACGAAGTGGCCTACATTTGGCTCGGGCATTCAAAATCATGCCCAGGAATGGAGTTCTGGGAACTCGAAGACCACGAAGTGGCCTACAGTTGGCTCCGGGCATTCAAAATGTGGCCCGGGAATGGAGTTCTGGGAACTCGAAGAGCACGAAGTGTGTGACTGTTGCATCCGGCCCTCCAGAATGTGGCCCGGGAATGGAGTTCTGGGAACTCGAAGAGCACGAAGTGTGTGACTGTTGCATCCGGCCCTCCAGAATGTGGCCCGGGAATGGAGTTCTGGGACTCGAAGAGCACGAAGTGTGTGACTGTTGCATCCGGTTATTCAGAATGTGGCCTGGGAATGGAGTTCTGGGAAGTCGAAGAGCACGAAGTGTGTGACTGTTGGTGAAAAACGAGCCCGGCACAGGCCCGGCCGGCAACTCCCAACACCTGCCCGGACCCCCCTGTGGAGTGATCTGTGAGCTCTTTTGACAACTAGAAACCTATCAGTCTACGCTGTTAGGTAATGATTTGCAGAAAAATTATCCCGGCAAAGCAACCTAACAGCGATGTGTAAGAAGCATATCTGAAAGCATTCCCCTTAAGATTCAGATGAAAATCCAGTTGTAGATTCTGCTGTTCTCGCAGTCGTAGTCGCATTCGCGATGACAGTCGCAGTGGCCGGCAGTCGCAGTCACAGCCTCAGCCTCAGCTGCCTCAGCCTCAGCCTTAGCCTTCCTCAGCCTCAGCTCAGCCTGCCAGCCTCACTCAGTCTGCTTCAGCCTCGGCCTCAGCCTCAGCCTGCCTCAGCCTCAGCCTGCATCAGCCTCAGCCTCAGCCTCAGCCTGCCTCAGCATCAGCCTGCTTCAGCCTCAGCCTCAGCCTGCCTCAGCCTCAGCCTCAGTCTGCTTCAGCCTCAGCCTCAGTCTGCCTTCAGCCTCGGCCTAGCCTCAGCCTCAGCCTCAGCCTCAGCCTCAGCCTGCCTCCTCAGCCCTCAGCATCAGCCTGCCTCAGCATTCAAAATGTGGCCCGGGAATGGAGTTCTGGGAACTCGAAGAACACGAAGTGGCCTACAGTTGGCTCCGGGCATTCAAAATCATGCCCAGGAATGGAATTCTGGGAACTCGAAGACCACGAAGTGGCCTACAGTTGGCTCCGGGCATCAAAATCTGGCCCGGGAATGGAGTTCCGAACTCTGGGAACACGAAGGCCTACAGTTGGCTCCGGCATTCAAAATGGGCCCGGGAATGGAGTTCTGGGAACTCGAAGAGCACGAAGTGTGTGACTGTTGCATCCGGCCCCCAGAATGTGGCCCGGGAATGGAGTTCTGGGAACTCGAAGAGCACGAAGTGTGTGACTGTTGCATCCGGCCCTCCAGAATGTGGCCCGGGAATGGAGTTCTGGGATCTCGAAGAGCAC